CTGCAATCTGAAAAGCAAGGAGATGGAGATGCATTTTTAACACAGGATTTCTAATTCCACTGCATGCAATTCTCCCAGCTTCCCTTCCTGCACTGTTTGACACTGGGGAGGGCAGCAGTGGCAGGATTCTGGTGGCAAACCCAGTGTCACCTGTGTGGCACGTGTCCCACAAACTGAAAACGCATTTTGCAAGTGAAATGAATGTCTGTGTGTGAAACTGTGTTAGCTAGAAAGAGCCAGCAGCAAACACAGCACTGAAGGAATGCTGGGAGGAGCTGCTGCAACACAGAGCTGGGCTGGAACTATGAATATGCAATTAAAAAATCTGGATTTTTCCGTGTTACAGAATTAGAGTGAAAAGGAGCCAAGAAATATCTTTGACAGAAACAATGCATCAGCTGGAGTGGAAATGGGAATGCATTACCATGCCATGCATATGCAATTTGTTTGCCTTACAACTTTTGAATGTTTAACAAGCTCTAGCTGTAGAAATTAATATTTATTTAAACCATCTGCTGATAACATTTTCTCTCTATTTTTAGAAACATAGAAGGAGCTATAACAATAAATATCTAGAAGCTTATTGCATAATCACACTTTCAAAGAAATATTCCCACAAACACTGGTTGAATTAACAGTTCCTGGAATTGGCTTAGGTTGCCCCCTTTTTTCTTTTTTTTTTTTTTTAAACATGCAGAGGTGGCTGCCTCACAGCCTTAGCAATCTTCCTCTGTCCATCAAATCCAAGGGATGGTATTCGTTGTGTATCACCACCAGAGCATTACTTTCCAAAATCCCTGCTGGAAACCAGTTGGAAATCGACAAAGGACAACACTTAAGAGCAGCAGGTGGAGGGAGGAGGCAGCACCACGGGGTGGGTGTTTGGGGAGCTGAGGTGCAATGCAAACGTGCTGAACTCGCAGAGATGAGCACACTGAATCCATTCTGACATCCTGCATTTCATTTTGCCAGCAGAACTGCATTTTAGAGGTTTAATTGGTCCTGGGTTAGGTGTAAACAACCCACACAAGGAAGACCCTTGACCTTCTTTATACCAGGGAGTCAGTTTGCTCTCCTTTATTACCTGGATGCCACAGACATTGCAGAATTAAAAGAAAAAGAACCTTGCTCCAGCATCCTTTTCTTGACTCTTTGGAGGAAAAAAAAAAGGAGTGAAACCAAATACTTTCTCAAGAGGCTGAAATTTACAAAAAAGCCAAAAGAACTTCTATATTCCCTGGGGTTTTTTTTCCTGAAATATCAGTGCTAAAGTGCTAAATTATACTTTATTTCCAAATCACTGAAAATTCAGTATTTTCCCCAGATAATCAGTGGAATACTGTATCTACCAATTCCAGCCAAACAAACTCTCCCGGTTGTGTCCCTGAGAAAAGGCAAACAGACACCTCATGTTACCGACACAGCCACTGCCATGTGGTCAGAAAGAGGAAGAAGAATGGTTTAATTTGTTTACAGTTTGTTGTTAGACATCATCCTCCTCCTCATCTTCATCATCTTCTTTTGCAATGAAATGGAGCTTCCTGGCTTCTCGCCTGCTCCTCGTCACGCTCGGGAGCACAACTGCCGGGAGATGCTGGAGGGAAAAGATCAAATCAACAAGGAAAGTCTGTGGAGGCAGAACTCCTACTTCCACCAGCTCCCATCCTCCCTCAGCTGACACAGGAACCAACCCTCAGCTTGGAAGCAGTGGCACAAAGCTAAAGCTGTGGGGCTCTGGGGTGAATCTGCCCAAACCAGATCCATGGGCAGAATCAGGGCTAGCATTACTTCCACTGGTGTGAGGAGCATTGGCACAGGGTGAAGGGCTCCCTAAACAAATCCTCGCTGCTCCCTGAATACTACAAGAAACACCTAAAAGATGACAACATCACTTGCCCTAAAATTATGCTTGTTAAAAGGATTCAAATGTAAAGCTCTGGCTCTTGGGTCAGTTCAAAAGCTGAGGTAGACAGAAACCAGTTTCCATTCCAAACAATCCCAATGCAGCAGGGCTGGAACTGGGTGATTTCTAGGATCCTTCCAACACAAGCTGTTCTATGATTCTGTTAAGAACCAAAGAATAGCAAAAATCTATTTTATCAACAATATGTCTCCACAATGTCATTATCAGTAAAACTACCTATCACATGGAATTGAAATAAAAAGTCTAAATAAGAAGGATTTTACACCTGAAAATAATTTAGCTGGGCGAGTAATTTCATTTCTGATGGAGAGCTTTACCTGGGGTACAGGGCCCAACAATACTGGTCAAATTCACCAAGAGTTTTGAGGCAAGTTTTAAGCAGGGCAGGGCTGAGTCTAAAGCAGGAACAGACTCATCATCTCACCAGTTCAATATCTCCGAAGAAGCGGTGCACTGGCATGGGCTGGTTGCTGTCCTCATCCGAGAGGCCGCTGCTGTGCTCCAGGAGCATCAGCCTCCGCGGGCGATCCGTGTCCTCTGAGGTGGCCCCATCAAAGCTCCCACAGCTGCTCTCCTCTTCACTGAACACATGATAGTGGTGCAGATATCCACCTAGTTTTAATGGAGCACCGCTGGAATTCACGGCGTGTGGCCCCAGAGAAACACCATGCTCCTTCTCCTGCTTCCCTTCATCAGTCTCTGGAATGCTTTCATCTTTTTCCTGTTGGATTATACTGCTGTCTCTTGGATCTTCTGAACCTCCATCCCCATCAGACGATTTAGGTGTTTCCCCCAGTGCAGCAAGGTTTCCACTTTCACACGTGAATACCTCTAGTTCTGATTTTAGATCGCTTTCTTCATATTTCATCCTCTTTGCAGGTCGTCCTTCAGTAGCTTCATGTGATGAACACTGTTAGAAAAAAAAAGACAAGATTGTAAAGCTCACTTGAAATAAAGAAGAATAAAATCACCTCATCTCTTTAGTTACAAAGCTGGCTTTGGAACAGAAGGGCTCCATCACACAAGTGGAATTTTGATCCAAACCTTCTAAGAAAAGTAATTAGTAGAAAGTGCATGTGAAGAGAGAGAAGAGGAGCAGACAGCTTACATAACCCACAATGTACAGTCCCGCAAGAGAAAAACACTTTTCTCAGAGAATAAACTAGCAGCGTAAGAGGTCAATCACCATGTTCTTATTTTCTTAAGGATGATGCTAATGGGAATTACTATGCCAGGCCTGTCATCACCCGGCACAGCAAGCGGCTAAATCTGCTCTGTATTTCTGCACTGGCACAAGCAACGTCGTGGGAGGAGCGGGAACGGCGATAAATTTACCTCAATTCTCCTGATAATTCCCACATGATGATGCTCAGATTGCAGCTGTTAATAATCACCTGCGATCCCCCCCGGGGCCGCGAGGCCTTTCCCTCACACACCATCCCACCCGGCCCCGTCCCTCCTACCGGGCTCGCCGTGTCGGCTGTTTCCCCCGCGGGTTGTGCGGGGTCGGCTGCTGGGGCGGCCTCCGCGGAGCGCCGGTGCCGGTGCCGGTGCCGGTGCCGTGGCCGTGGCCGGGCCGGGCGAGCGGGGCCGGCGGTGTCCGAGCGGCTCCGGCCCCGCTCCGCCCCGCCCGCCGCCATCTTGGGCCACGCGCGGGCCCGCGCTCGCCATCTTGTGGAGCTCCGGTCAGGAGCCCCGCGGCGGGCGCGGGATCCGGGCACCGGGAAAGGGCTCTGGGCTCCGGGCAAAGGGCTCCGGGCAAAGGGCTCCGGGCACCGACAAAGGGCTCCGGGCACCGGGCAAAGGGCTCCGGGATCCGGGCAAAGGGCTCCGGGCTCTGGGCACTGGGCAAAGGGCTCTGAGCACCGACAAAGGGCTCCGGGCACCGACAAAGGGCTCCGGGCACCGGCAAAGGGCTCCGGGATCCGGGCAAAGGGCTCTGGGCTCCGGGCAAAGGGCTCCGGGCACCGACAAAGGGCTCCGGGCACCGGGCAAAGGGCTCTGGGCTCCGGGCAAAGGGCTCCGGGCACCGACAAAGGGCTCCGGGCACCGGGCACCGACAAAGGGCTCCGGGCACCAACAAAGGGCTCCGGGCACTGACAAAGCCCCCTGGGCAAAGGGCTCCGGGCACCGACAAAGGGCTCTGGGCACTGACAAAGCCCACCGGGCAAAGGGCTCCGGGCACCAACAAAGGGCTCCGGGCACCGGGCAAAGGGCTCTGGGCTCCGGGCAAAGGGCTCCGGGCACCGACAAAGGGCTCCGGGCACCAACAAAGGGCTCCGGGCACTGACAAAGCCCACCGGGCAAAGGGCTCCGGGCACTGAAAAAGCCCTCCGGGCACCGGGCAAAGGGCTCCGGGCACCGACAAAGGGCTCCGGGCAAAGGGCAGCCTCATCCCAGCCAGTGAGGACTGGGAGCCCACGGCCCTCACACACCACAGCCCCTCACTCGCCGCAGCCCCTCACACACCATAGCCCCTCGTACACCGCAGCCCCTCACACACCATAGCCCCCATCTTGGACCACAGACAGCATTGCCTTAACAGAAGCTTTGGCAAAGTGAGGACAAAGCAGCTAGTCACAGGTCACACAGTGGGGTGGGTTGGAAGCGAACTTGAGGATCACTCAGTCCCACCCCTTGCCATGGCCAGGGACACCTTCCACTAGCCCAAGCTGCTCCAAGACCTGTCCAACCTGGCCTTGAGCACTTCCAGGGATCCAGGGGCAGCCACAGCTCCTCTGGGCAGCTTGTGCTGAGACAACCCCAGCCTGACAGCCAAGAATTTCTTCCCAATATCCAATCTAAACCTACTCTCTATTAGTTTAAACCCATTCCTCCTTGTCCTGTCACTGCATGCTTTGGTAAATAGTCTTGTTTCTTCTTTCCTATAAGTTCCCTTCAAGTATTGGAAGGCTGCAATTACAGTTTCTGAAGGGAGCTTGCTGACCTCCCTCCCAGCTGCTGCTTGGGTAAAAACCCATCCCATCCTGCCTGGGAGCTGTGTAGCTTATAAACATTTGAAATCGTTTGCTTCCCATTGTGTCTCGCTCTGGAGCAGCGCTCGCTCCCATTCAAGACGTGGTGGAAGAGTTATTATTCAGATGTGCTTCTCTCTGCTTTCCACAGCCCTCAGGGAACAAATTATGTCAGTAACTCAAATCCCTCTTTAACTTCAAGGACTCTGAGGGTAGCAGATGAATTTCTGTGTAGTAAAGCACCCAGATTTAAGTACGTAATTATCCTGTCTGATGTTACCGGGGAGGTGCTGTGGGGAGCGGCGGCAGGTACCGGTGCCCTGACGGCCACGTCCCCACGATGGGGCCCACGGGCTCCATCCATCACATTAAACACAGCTCCTTCTCCAGTTAATTCAGTGCTTTGGGGATGCTGTGGGGATTTTTATAATTCTGTCCATCTGAGGGCACAGGAGCTTGTTTCTTTATAGCAGCCTTTAATGTTCTTGCTCATTGTAGAGTTGTCCCACGAGTCTCAGTGGTACCTGTGCTCCTCCATCCAACTTGGCTGATTAAATGCTTGTCCGTTCACCCTGGCCTTAAAAAACAGAAGCAACAATTTAAATCGCAGAAATAAGTAGCAAGACTGTACCTATGGGGATATTCAAGAAATATATTTTTTCTCAAAAGTATAAAATCCCCCCATTAAACCATGCAGGTTTGGAGAATCACCTGCACGTTGTTGTGCAATTTCCCTCAGTGCTCAGGGTCCGTCTATTCTTTGTTCTCTGGGTGAGATAATTCATATTCTTCTCCAAAACCTTCTCGACTTGCTCCACTCTCTCACAGTGTTGTTGCTTGCAGCCATGGAATACAGATGATTGTTTTTATTAGGCATTGAAAACTTATACTGTCTTGTAAACAGCCGCAGACTGAAACTGGCTGAAAAGCAGCATTTCTGCAGCTGGAAAACGTGGTTCTTGTTTTAATTTCCACAACAAACTGAAAATAGTAAGGAAAATTTAATTCTAATAAATACTTTTCACAACACTGTACGTTCCTCGGGTTTTATGCCGCTTTGCAAAGCTGATGTGACTGAGCACTGAGAAGGGGGTGGCAAAGCCCTGAGCAGTCCTGTGGCCTTCGGTGACCTGGTGTGGGGTGGGGTACAAGTGCATGAGGCTCTGTGGGGTGACCTTGGACACAGGGTACAAGGGACACCACAGTTTAGATGGAGCTGGGATGGCAGGGCTCCATCCAGAGCTCTCATGTCACATTCACCCTATTCCCCACTTTAACCACATTATTTTGGGGGCAGGTAGTAACAATTTCACAGCTTCGGATGTTGCTGCATCTTCTGAAATATGGCCAAGATAAAAACTGTCACACAGTGCAGGAAGCACCCAGGAGAGACTGTGGATCCCTCTGAGATCCATCCCCTTCTCAGCAGCAGTGACTCCCAAGTGACTTGAAAGGCAACAGGGGAGACTGCCAACAGCCAACAGCCCTCTGAGGGAATCCGAGCAGCACGAGCTATTTACATTAAACCCACATTTCCACATAAAAGGGGGCTTATTCTCAATATTTAAGAAAAACGGGTTATGTTAGAATCTGTTGTCTAAGCAGGCAGGGAAGAGAAAATGAAAAGAGGGGTTTGTGAGCTCCACCATTCCTGTGAAAACTGGCGGCTCTGCAGCAGCAGCTGATGAGCTTATGGAGCAGGAAGGGAGAGCTGGGCTGTGAAACTTGATGTGCAAATGAGCTTCTTGCAGCACTTGTCTCTGCGCCTGTCACTTGCACCAGTGTCCCTGTCTGTTATAATCCTCCTGGTTCATTTGGCTAAACATGACTGACATGCCAGGGACAGCAGCCAAAAAAAATGTTGCCTGTAAACATGCTGGCTGTTAACTGTTGAATGTGAGGTCTGTCATACTGAACAGCCATCCATCAGAAGCACTGGCTGGCCTTTTCCTGCCACAGAAAAGGTGGGTTGGGTTCAAATGGCTGAATTTTTCTGGGGACAAAGCAGGAAGAGGATCCACTTCCCAATAACCAGGACCAGGAGCCTTGCTCCCTGCTGCATCCTTCTGGCTGCCCCCTCTGCCTCCTCAGCAGGAAGAGTTGGTCTTGTGTTGAAGATTTCAAGAAAAGGTGTTTCGCTGCTGTTCCCTTCCATCACATGGTGTTGTTGTGCCAGCTCAGGTAATATTGGTGAGCACTGAGGCTGGATGGGGCTCTGAGTAACCTGATCTAAGGAAGGTGTCCCTGCCCATGGCAGGGAGTTAGAACTGGATGATCTTCAAGGTCCCTTCTAAGCCAAAATATTCTGTGATGCCATGATTCTATGGACTGCCAGTTTTGGGCTCCCAGAGGCACTGTGTACTTGGAAATCCTCTGGGAGTTGATACCCCATCTGAAACTGAAATTCTGCAGCCCTCCAATGCAGCTGCCCTGAGCACTGCTAACCTGAGGACCTTTGCACCACTGACATGGAATAAACCCCTCATTTCCATCACAGAGGAGTACTCACATCAGGAGCTGGTGAGCCTTGACACAGAAATCACAGGCAATTTACGGTACATAATGAAACTTTATGCTTGCCATGTGAGAAATCTCTTTGAGTCTTATTTTGGATTTCTAGCAAGTGTTTTATCAAGGACCAAACATGGAAAGGCAGTATCTGAAGAAATTAATTAACACGACAGAGCTGTACGTGGGCTTTGTGAGAAAGAGCAACAAAGAGGAAACCTGTGACATTCGTTAATGACAAACCATAAGGAACTTGGGAGAACAGCGAGTGCAGAGAACCTGTCTGAGGGGCTGTTTGCACTGGGCTGCCTGTGATGGGTATGGCTGGAGCCCTGCCAGAACTCTCCCCCAAAGCCTTGCCTGAAGCCCTGCTGCTCATGGTCTTGTCCCCCTGCTACTGATGCACTTTTTGTAACCATCTCTAGTGTTTACCTGGCAAATCCTTCCCAAGGCACCTCCAAACACTGCCCAGTGAATTCCACCTGCCCTAGGTCTCCTGCCTTCCCTAAGCCCCTCTTGCTCCTGGCATATTGATTTTTAAAGTGTTTCGCAAACCACAAGTAAATCTCTCCCAGCACAAAGCGTCTCACTGGACCCAAATCCTTACCTTTGCTCCAGGAGACTGATTACATGGATTTTAATGATTTCCCGGCAACTTGGTATGGCTGTTAAAAAGCGTCGGCTACAGAAACCTTTTCCTGCCTCAATTGAACAGTACTGTAGCCGTGGGAACAGACCCTCCCGCCCCTCCGCTTCCCGCTCTGTCACGTCGCTTTGCTGCAGGCTTTCATTAGGTTAATTAGGGTTTAATTAGGGTTTCGTTCCCATCGAATATCCCGGCCGGGACAGCGGCTCGGGCTCAGCCGCCGCCCGACGCTGGGGGTCAGTGTGAGACCGGCGCTGCGGCCGTGGGCTCGGGGACACGGGGGACACGGGGGACACGGGGGACACGGGGGGACACGGGGGGACACGGCGACGTAAAGGACACGGGAGGGACAAGGCGTTCTCTCCGTCTCCCACCCACCGAGCCTGTCTGCCCTCCTGCGAGGAGCCCGGATCGGGGGACACAGGATGGCTGGGGCTGGATGGATGTTAAGGATTACCCAGTTCCGACCCCTTGCCATGAGCAGGGACACCTTCCACTATCCCAGCTTGCTCCAAGCCCTGTCCAGCCTGGCTTTGGACACTTCCAGGGCTGGAGCAGCCACAGCATCTCTCAGAAACCTGTGCCAGCACCTCACCACCCTCACAGGGAAGAATTTCTCCCTAAAATCACTGTATTTCCCCTCTTTTATTTTAAAGCCATGCCCTCTCATCCTGTCACTCATTGCCCTTGTCCATTGTCCTCTCCAGCTCTCCTGGAGCCCCTTTAGACACTGCAAGAGGTTCTAAGGTCTCCCCAGAACCTCCTGTTCTCCAGGCTGGATACCCCCAGTTCTCCCAGCCTGTCTCCATGGGAGAGATACGCAGATTTTGCCTGGCTGCTTTGCTAGGCACCCCAGGGAGCTGGAGCAGTTGTGTTCTGCAGCTCTGAGTGTGCTGCTCCCAGCTGGAACAGGGCATCTCAGGAACAAACAGCTTCTCTTTGTTTCCTCCAGCCCCCTTGCCTGCAGGTAGCTGAGCCTGGTCCTGGCATTGCCATCCTGCCCAGCTGTCAGAGGGACAGGCTGGGAACACCACACTCAGCAAGGCTGAACTTCATCCAAAAGCTGAGCCCAGGCTGTTCTCAGCATAATTTGCTTCGTTAGATTTAAAATAATAATAATTTTTAAATGCCCTTCCTCTGTCCTACATGCCAGTGAACATCAGGCTCACCGAGCCCCAGCCTGATTTTCCACCAGTGACAGGCAACATTTTGGTGAGTGTTGTACATTATTTAACACATATCTTTGGGGATATAAAAATTCTTTTGAGTGAATGCAAGTGTCTTCTCTACACACCTGACAAGGATGGAAGTGGCTGTTTTACACAAGGCTCATTAAATATAAACCCATCATGTTGATTTCAGCATCTTAAATTACTTAAGCCAATGTAATGGGATAAATATTTGATGGTGAATTTTATTAAATTTCCACTACTATTATGTTACTGCTAAAAATATAAAGATTTCTTTAAAGCCTGCTTGGTGGTCTCCAAAGGCAGATGATTGGAAATCTGACTCAAAACCTGCCTGCAGGGATTGTTTTAAGGATGTGAATGAATTCTCTCCTTCCCACTGTCCTCTGCAGGTAACAGCAGATTCTCCCTGCTCCCATCAGGATTAGTCAGTCCCTGGAAATAGTGACAGTATCCCAGGCCAGGCCCAGAGCTGTGGAGGGCACACACCGAGGCTGTGCCCATCAAGGGTGGCTCTGCACAGGACAACCCTTGGGAGCAGTGAAGGAGGGCAGGGAGTGTCCCACAGGAGGGTGACTGTGGGGTGGCTGCTTGCAGATGTTGATGGGGTTTGATCTCAGGATCGTGTTTATCTCCTCTCCCAGCTTCTGCACTTTGCAGCTCTGCTTGGACAGCAGAACAGAAGTATTGTGGTGTGGTGGGAAATCACCCCAGAAATGAGCACCTGCACAAGCTCTGCGTGTGCCCCAAATCTGGAGGGGCCAGGGCACTGTCCCTGCAGGGCTGGTGGTGTGGTGTGGGCAGGGGTCAGCTCGGTGAGCACTCACAGCCGCTCTGCTATCCATGAAGAAAGGGAAATCCACCGAGGGACTGAAAAGAGGACATCACCAGGATGTTTTTAAACTCTGATTTGACAAAATCCTACCAGATTTTCTCTCATTAGCACTCGCCTCTGAACGCAGCTTGAGGTGAGACCTACCTTTCAGCAGAGCTGTGGTCCACACCAGAGCCCCATCCGAAAATGCTGCCCCGTAAATCAGTAACACATCTCGAGTCAGAGCGCAGCAAGTTGTGCAGTCCTGAGTCTATAAATATTTCTGTTTGCCTTTGAAAGGATTGCTGCACAGTGGCACTTTCTCTCCCTGTCACATAATTAACTCTTCCTCACTTTCTGTCGCTTGTCTTGTCATAATTCAATACGTAAAGTTTAAAACCCCTCAACAATTTAATTCTTGGCATTTAAGAGTTGCCAGTTTCTGGGCAGAGGAAATTTCCCAGGACAGAGCTGGTTCAAGCAAAGGCACATGCTCATGGATGAACACCTGAGATGGAGAAGACAGCTGGACCAGGTGGCATTTTCTTAGCAGAGCAAAAAGCCATCAGCATTTTCCTGAAGAGGTGTCTCTTTCCCTGATATCCTGCAGGAGCGGGAGTTAAAGCCACTGCAGGAATCTCATCACAGTTCAGTAGCTCCCTGAATTAAAAAAGGATAATTACAGATGAAGCACCCTGGAGCAGGGCCATGGAAAAGGCTATTGAGGTCAGTCTCTTGTCCACTCTCAAGACTTCATTCAGAACCAGAGCAAACTCCGTGCTAAAACATCCCCACTTGGATTTATTTCTTTTCACCACTAGTTCCCAGTGCTAGAGGTTAGGTATAAAGAGCTGTAACTGCACCTCAGAGAGGACCTTGTACCAGTGGGGATCCTAAGACAGCATCTGTCTTCAAAAGAGCAGGAAAAAACAATCAGAGGAGACATGTTCTGTTCATGCACCAGCAAGCAATATTGTTCCATGGGTAGGAATCACGCTAGGACAGCGGCTCCAGTGGCCCGGTGCGGCTTCCGACTGGGGCTGCAGTGCAACAGGAGCGATTCCCTCATCACCCTGGGAGGCTCCGGTAATGAACCCACATCCTCATTACAATCTGCTTAAGTACTTCCTACCTCAGGTATTGCCTCCATCAAGCATCGCTGCTGATCTCCTGTGTCCTGACTCTTTTGAAGCAGGTTTTCCAGGAGCAGCTCCATTACACCGTGCCACAGCTCTGAGTCATCTCCCACCTCTGCACAGGGCCGCCCGCGTGCCTTTGTCATCCACACTGCTCGCATCCTGCACAGAAGATGTCACACAACTGTCCAGACACCATCCCAGTGTGTAATAGCTGCTCTTCAGAGACAGATTAATCATGTAAGCGGAGAAAGACTTCAGCTGGGCACTCCTGCTCAAGCAGCACATTTCTAGGGCTCTTTTCTGCATGCACTGATAGTGCTTAATGCTTAGCACAGAGTCAGAATTAAAAACCACCCAGGAAGAGGGTTTAGGGCTCAGAGAATTCTAATAACTCTGTCACAGAGCCAGAAACTTGACTGCCACATCTTCCTGTCCCTTTCTGTACTTCTTCCTGGGGCAGGGGGGTGACTGGTGTAATACCAATCCTCCCAGGTTCCAGCAGAAGTGCCTTGGTTTCTTCTTACCATTGTCTTATTTTCTTCACTACATGACCCTTGCTGGTTATTCTTTTCAGCTAAAAATACCTGCTCCTCACATGTCCGCCTGGTGGGCAGGAGCTGCCGCTGGAGTGCCGGGGATGTTGTTTTGACACTTTGATTTGATCTGAGGACACACGAATAGAAAGCCACCAGTGAATAGAAGAATAAATCTGTATGTTCCTTGCTGTCACTTCAACTAGAAAGCAAAGTTGGCAGCTCTCGCTCTTCAGGGAATCTGAGATTATTTGGACAAAGGTTTCCCTGTGGGTGGCACACTCACAGGAACAAAGGAGCAGGGTTCACAGGAGGAACAAGTGTCCTGCAGCCAACGTGATCAAAAGCAAGCCCCAGAACTGTGTGTACACCAGGTTGGGCAGGAGAGATTGAACAACAATCAGGTGCACAAGAAACCCATTCAGAGAGAGGGTTCTGAGGGAATTGAAACAAGCGTTGGCCCTGCTTCATCTGCAGACAATAGCACTTTCTAAGGAGAAACTCCTGCACTGTGTGGCTGTGCTTTTGTTATCCTGTTTAATAGGAAAAGAAGTAAATGAAGTTCCTAGGCAGTGCCCAGGAAGGTGGTGGGTAACTTACCTGTGCACTATTAGCACAGTTTCCATGCCCATTCCTATGCCAAGGTTTGTTATTGTTTGTCTTTGTCCTGCAAAAAGTCATCCACGTCACCAGAGACTTCTGCTCTTGTGCTTAACTTGATGCATTTTGGTATCAGAAATGTTTCAGGATAGATTTTAGCTGGGGGAGAGAAAGCACTAACCCCTGCTCTGGGCAGCTTGGAGCATCCTGCACTGCTCCAGGGGCCAGAGACAGCAGCACTGTCAACTGTGGACCTCACTGTCCCACCTCCCAGACCTCCTGTCCCACATGCAGACCTCCTGTGAGATCTCCCAGACCTCCTGTCCCACATGCAGACCTCCTGTCCCACCTCCCAGACCTCCTGTCCCACCTCCCAGACATCCTGTCCCACCTGCAGACCTCCTGTGTCTCCTCCCAGATCTCCTGTCCCTCTTCCCAGACCTCCTGTCCCACCTGCAGACCTCCTGTCCCACCTCCCAGACATCCTGTCCCACCTGCAGACCTCCTGTGTCTCCTCCCAGACATCCTGTCCCTCTTCCCAGACCTCCTGTCCCACCTGCAGATTGCCCATTCCACCTTCCAGACACCGTCAGGCTCTTCTCCACCTGCATCAGAGCCAGCAGCGCTTCTCTGGCCCTGGAAGTGAGCCTGGCCCTGTGCCAGCCAGCATCCATGGCAGGGTGATCCTCTCTGTAATGGATTTCTTCCAGCAAGGGAAAGCAGTGCAGTGCCCCTCGTTGCTCACACACAGCTGAACACCGGCTTCTCCTCCGCTCTGAGCTCTCCAGAGACAAACTGCTCCAGCCAAGAAGCCAGCAGGCTGGAGCAGCCCCTGGATCTCACTGTTCCCTGGGGACAGCGTTGTTTTTACCACTGCTGATGTTCCTGCTGTGTTGCTAAGGTCGAGCTTCCCTCGCTCCGTGTGCACCCACAGCGATCTCTGCGTTCGCAGCTCCGCGGCTCTCAGGGCTTCGAGCTTTGCTCACACTCTGCATGGGGATCAGGCACATCCCTCGGTTTTGTCTCCAAGCTCAGTAACCACGGAAGGAAAAAACCCTGAAGAAGTGCCTAGGTCGCATCTTTGGGCAGCAGAACTGAACAGGTGTGCACTTCCAGAAGTACTGCAGACAAGAGTTTATTAGATTCCACTAGCATGGCAACTGCTGCATTACAGATGCCGGAGTCTTTGGAAGGAAGCCAACCACCACTTTCTCAAGGAATATTTTATCACCGTTGGGCTGTGCTGAGTGAGGATTCTTCTCCTCAAAGCGGGGAGAGCTGGGGGGGAGGAGGAGGAGAGGGGCCACCACCGTCAAGTTGAAGCAATTCTTTCTTCTGTAGTTTAATCCTCTTCCCTCCCCTTGATACTCAGTTTATTTAATTGCAGAGACAAGTTGCATTGCTTTCCTGAGGGATTGTGGGAGAATATTTGTAATCCAAGGGCTGTAATTGAACTTGGTAATAATAATTATACTTCTCTTCATTAATATGTCTTAAAGCTCATTACAAACTATTTTCGTGCCAGCATCTTTGCCAAATCCCTACAGGGTTAGAGATAACTTCTTATTCCAGTAGAGCAGCAACTTTAAGGACTCTTGCAGGGCAGCAGCAACAGCCAAACCCCTGAGCTCGCTTTTGAGGCCAGGGAAGTGTGGTCCCAAGGGATATGAGGAATTCTCCAACACCATACAGCTGGTCAGGGGCTGGCCTAGGATGGGGAATCCCCAAGCTTGGGGCCATTCAGCCTGTAGCAGCTTTACTTCTCCCCATGGGGATGGAGCACCTCTCCTCTGAGGAAAGGCTGAGAGAATTGGGATAGTTCAGCCTGGAAAAGGCTTTGGGATGACCTAATTGTGGCCTTCCACTACCTGAAAGGAGCTGACAAGAAAGATGGAGAGAGACTATATACAAGGGCCTGGAGTGACAGGACAAGGGGGGAATGGCCCCACATTGACAGAAAGAAGAGTTAGATGGGATCATTGGAAAAAAATTCTTCCCCATGGGGGTGGTGAGGCCCTGGCACCACCAGTTTTCCTAAGAAACTGTGGATGCCCCATGATCCCTGGAAGTGTCCACTGCCAGGTTGGACGGGGCTTGGAGCAACATGGTTTAGAGGATGGTGTCCCTGCTCACATCAGGGTGTTGGAATAAGATGAGCTTCCAACCCAAACCATCCTGGCATTCTGTGAATCATCTGAACTGGGGTCAGCTGGGCTCTGAGAGCGCTGTTGCAAGCTCAGTAGTCAGTCATGGCACAAAAAGCCCTGCTTGAATCTGCCTGTCCAGAGAAGGGGAGCCACTCCTGAGCCATGAGGCTTTCCTGAGCTGTTCTGCCTGGCTGGAGTGCTTGCAGAGCTGCGCCCACCACGGGGATCCAGCTGTGCTCTGACAGGCAGTGCCTGACACGGGGTGCCTGTGTCATTGTATGCCCCGAGGAGTGGATCTAAAAGCGGATGCTTTTCAGTACAAGAATGTCTATTCCAGATCACAAGTCTGCAATTAAAATGAAAAATTCAAACTCATTTTACTTAGACAAGTGATATGAGGGACGCAGTGCATTAAGATATGTTCCAAACTCTCAAATCTCATTATCACTGTAGTGAGGTCCCAGTGCAAATCCCAGTATGCAGAGGGCAAAATGCTCCCTTGGTTTAAGATAACATTCTGCCCCTCCCCAAGGAGGGGATGTGGCTTTTTCAGGAATGCTGCTCGTTCAATATTTAAGCTCAGTCTGTGCGACACGCGAGGTACGTTAGCATTCATTATCCTGTTTGTGCCAGCATCTCTGCCGAGTCCCCGCTGCACTGGGGAGAACCATTTTCCTGCTACAGCAGCAGCACTAAGGTGTGCTGTGGCAATTACTGGGGAATATAAATTTCCAGCTCTCCTGAAATCGCAGCACTCCTATTAAAGCAGCCCACTGGCTATGTGCTAAATTTGCCCAGACAGCGGCAGGGCCAGACAATGATGGCCTGTGGAGATCCTCCGGAATAGGCCGTGTGCTGCTGGGTTGGCTGTGGATGAAATGCATTCCTCTGTCACCAGCTCTCCAGCTCAGAGCAGTCACAAGAGGAAGAAAAAAAAAAAGAAAAAGGAGCAGAACAAGCGACAGCAGCACAATAGGCTTTCTTTGAAGCAATTCTTCAGGTATGTGTGCACTTGCTCCCTGGATCTGCAAGTATTTGTCAAATAAATTCAATTAATTTTCTCAAACAACCGTTTCTGCTTTTCATTGGAATCTCTCCCATCCAGCTCACCCATGACATTTGAAGTTCCCATTCCTCAGGGCCACAATAGCCAGGAGGAGCAGAGCTGCAGTGTGCCAGGGGGCTGCTGGTCACCCAGCTGGGCACAGTAGGAGACAGTTCTGCCGCTTTCCCTCTGCAGAGCCCTCACTCCATGAGCAAGGACAGCTCTGAGCTGGATCGCTCCAGGTAGAATTTGCAGAGACAGAAGAAAAACATGACAACGGAGGAAGTTTGGAGGTTTAAACAGCAGGAACAGATGCCTTGGAGCAGAATGGAGCAGAGGTCATGTCCATAGCTGTCCTGGCTGGGGAGGGGGGGAATCATCCCCTCCTCCCCATCATCCTGTGGCTGCACATCCCTGAGCTCAGACGAGACCCCAGCCTCACAGGGAATGTCAGAGAGCCCCGGCAGCAGCCGGCATGGCTGAGGGCAGCAGAGCACAGAGCAGCAACTTGGAAATCATCTCTGCCTGTCTCAAAGCTGCCTCTGTGCTGTGAGAGCAGCTCCGTGCGGGAGCCAGACAGCTGAGATCAGCCAGGCACTGCAGTGCCAGGCTGCTGCTTGGCAGCTCCTGCCGAGCCATGCGGGGAGTGTGGGGATGCAGAGCTTCCCTCTGGCTGCCCTGGGACCCTGGCAGGGCTCAGGAACCCCCTGGACAGAGCCCCCAGAGACACTGTCTGTGATCTCTGTCCATGGAAAAGAGTTTTCAATCTTACAGGATGAATTACAAGCTCCGAGTGTTTGATATAAGTAATAATAAGTGTGGCACAGGTGCGAAAGTAAAATTTTAGGATTCTAGATTAGGGGTCCAAAGGGGACAAGATGGAGGAAATTGGGTGTGCCTTGTCCTTTTTCTCCTTCTTCATGCCCTCCATGTTTCACTGTGGTGTTGGCATTTTTCTGTTGGTTCAGGCTGGGGACACACTGTCCAACGTAGGTGACAGATATTGGCACGTTATTGTAAATCCAGCACAGGTAGTTTCTGGTATTTAATGTTTGTACCATCCCACTGAGGGCAGAGCCCCACACGCTGCCCTGCAGGACAGAGCTGCGGCAGGGCAGCAGAACATGTTAGAGATAAACAGAATAAACAACCTTGAAACCAGCACAGACGAATTATGGCTTCTTCTTTGGCAGCGGGGCAGAAAGACAGAGACTTTCTACAACCTCGGAATCATCAATAGCTCAGATTCCGACAGAGGAGCACACCCCGTACGCCTCCACTCCCTCCTCTACGGCTGGAACCGCTCAAGGGCTCGTCTGAGGGATGCACTCACCCTCCTCCTCCTCTCCTGCCCCTGTCCTGACAGGAGGGAGGCTGGAAGCCCTCACAGAATGGCTGCACTCACACCACGCCTGTTCCCACACCTTCCTCCCGAGCCTTTGCTTCTGAGAAGATTTTTGCCTCTAAGTTTTTCATCTCTTTCCAAAACATGACACATCCCTTAAACTGACTTGAATGTAAACGATGCAAATGCAGGGAGAAAGTAATTAGTCTCTGGAGGCTACAACTGGGTTTTAAGCAATGAAATCATTGGAAATGGGTTCTATTTTACCTCACTCAGAAAGGAAGAAATCCCTCAAGAGTTGGTTTGGGGAGGGGTGGGTTGCAGCCCATCGCTGCTGAAAGCTGCCACCCTTCTCTTTCATGAACTGCCTTTGATTTAACCTGCCTGTAAGGCTTCATTCCCCAAAGCAGAATGGGAGGAGGCTCAGGCAGCAGCCCCCAGTGACACAAACTGTTCCCATCTCCATCTGCTCAGCCCATGCAAACACACCACCCCTAAAAACCCCCAAATGCTCATCCCCTGTGCCCTGACGTTCACCCCGTGGGTTCTGCCTCCCTGCAGCACCAGCTTGCCAAAACCCACTCCTACTCTTGGCCACAGAGGCCTGAAAGTCATTCCTAGCCTGGCCCAGAAGCTGCAGCTGCAATCGACTGGCTGGGCTCATATGTTCCAAATCACCCTAATGGCACTTCAGAAATGCAAATAAAAGTGAGATTATGATATTTTACGTAAATAAGCAATGTGGCAATCCCAGCCTGGCTTGGCCTGCCAGGCAAATTCACTGGAGAGATACTAACATTGAAATATGTGAGCGTGTTTGCATGGAACATTTATTGTATAACTCTGGGCTCCAATAAAGCCTTGTATAAATTATTCATTTTGGAATCGAGATGAAATGCCAAAACCCACCCACCAAGGGACTGCTTTTATTACTACCAGAGATCTAGTCTGAGTTAGCAGCTAAGCTGTTAACACAGCTCACAAGGTAATTCCAAATGGGGAATAACCCCTTGCCTTCGTGTCACCACGTGCCCTGTGCTGAGGGCAGTGTCTGGGCACCCACACACGCTGCTTTAGGGTGGAAAACCACGTCCTGAAGAGTGTAAACTTCATCCCACCGTGCTCATCTGTGGAGCTAGATGTAGAAACCCAGAGCAAGTGGAATATTTTGCTGTCTGCCCTGAGGGATTCTGGCTCCCAGGGAAGCACTGACTTTGACCCTCATTCATGGAGAAGGCCTCCAAAGCTTCAAAATAAACTAGAGACCACAAAAGTGTGAAGTACCTTATAGAGAGTAGTATAGAATGTCACTTGGGTGAGAAATTTAGGTTTTAGGGTTTTTAGTATGTTGTAGATGGGGACAAGATGGAGGGTACAGGCTGTTGTCACGTGTTCCTTTTTCTTCCTCTTCCTTCTTCGTGGGTTTAGGTGGTATCTTGTAATTGGGTAGAAAAATCCGCATTGCGGGTCTTTAGGGGTCAGTTATTGGGTTAGAAAGGAAAATAATTTAGGTGCCACATCTTAATTGGGCAACTTAGTTTTTGATCAGGCTTAGAAGGTCTTGTAACAAGAGATTGTTGCCATTTTTGTGCTCTTTTCCTGCATGCAGTCTGGTGCAGACAGCGTGCTGAAGTTTTG